AGACTTTAAAACAAAAACTGTTATTAGAGATAAAAAGGGACATTTCATAATGATAAAAGGGTCAATTCATTAAGAAGATACAACAATTATAAACATGTACGTACCCAATAACAGAACTCCAAAATACATTACGCAAAACCTGACAGAACTGAAGGGTGATCTAGATAATTCAACAGTAATAGTTGGTGACTTTAATACTCTACTTTTCAAAAATGGATTGAACTAGGCAGATCAACAAGAAAATAGAAGACTTGAACAATATAAACCAACTAGACCTAACAAACATCTATAGAACATTCCACTCAGTAACAGCAGAATATACATTCTTCCCAAGTGCATGTGGAACATTCTCCAGGACAGACTATATGCTACACCATAAAAACATATAAATTGATAAATACATGTAAATGGAGACACAAATACTAAAATGTTAATAATAGACACCTTTGGTTGGTGGAAATATGGGAGTTTTTTTTCCTAGAATTTTTTTTATTGTGGCAAAATATATGTAACATAAAATTTGCCATTTTAACTGTTTTTAAGTGTACAACTCAATGGAATTTATTACATTCGCAGTATTTTGCAACCATCATTTCCCAAATTTTTCAGCACCCCAAACAGCAACTCTGTACCCATTAAACAATAACTATTCATTCTGTGTTTCCCCAGCCCTGGTAACCTCTAATCTACTTTCTGTCTCTATGAATTTGCCTATTCTAGATATTTCATATAAGGGATGTGAGGGAGGGGTCCAACTTCATTCTTTTGCATATGGAAATCCAGTTGTTCCAGCCGTTTGTTGAAGAGACTAGTCTTTCCCCATTAAATGGTCTTGGCACCCTTGTTGAAAATCAATGAGCCAGAGATTTATGGGTAATATGGGAGATTTTAATGTTTTCTTTTACTATTCATTATTTGCTAATTTTCCTATAATGAACATAACACTTTTATAAAGAGAAATAAAAAACAGTAAGTTATAAAAAAGAACTGATGACTCGTAATGGGAAGGTATGAATTGAGAGAGGTGGAGGAAATTGCTTGGTCTCTTGGACTCTTATCAACCCAAATTCTGCCAAATCATTTATACTTACACTTGAAACTCTTCATAAGAAACGCCACTGGAGATGCTTCCTCTCCTTCTAGAACTATGCCCACTGTCTTCATCATCATCTTCCTCAGAGTCGTCCAGGCTTCGTGGGAAACTCCGGCTGCTCATAGGACGTGGTAAAGAGCTGTGATCCAAGTCCAGGTCCTCCTGAAGAACATGAGGTCACCAAGTGAGGAGCGAACAGCGAGGACTCGAGCAAATAGGAAATGCTGTGTGCCATTTACCTAGGATTTCTCTGTGGTTAACACCTGACTGTGATCCCCACACTTTTAAATTTCATAGGCTGGTAAATTTTCAAAACAAATTTTAACAACCAGCAAGGAGTTGTGAGCTTTTTGTTTGGACAAGAAAAAACATTAAAAACACAACAAAGCAGAGAAAAAAGTAAATACAGAAATATCACCTTGTTTTCATAAAGATAGAATTTTAGTAGATTTGAAGCAGGAAGTATATAATCTCTGAATACGAATTTTGACTAACTACAGCCTTGTGAAAAATTTACTCATTATCTTCTTCTTCACTTTTCACTGTGACTGGTGAAACCTTCGTCACCTACCAGGACTGTTCTATGTTCGGCACAGCAGCACGCAGAAACCAGTGTTTCAGACTATCTACTCATGGGAAAGTGGTTTTTGTAAACAACATTCAGCTGTATTCTCTATACCTCAATGTACCATGGATTTTTCTGGTTTAACCATTGATCTTTGAAAGTTAATGTGAAAGCTTGTAATTATTTTTCTGATTATTCAAATATAGTATTTAACTATAAGTACTAATTACTTGAAAAGCAGCCAGTCAGAATAATTTTATATCTTCTGAGAAACTGCTTTTTTTTACCCTCTCATGGACATTGTTGACGACATAACTAATCAGGTTTCTCTTCTCAAGCTGACTACTAGGAAGCTTAGGGCCTAATATGTAGCCCAATCTTAATAAGCTATGTGTTTTACAGAATGCACTTTTTAGCCTCATTCACAGCCCAGTTTTGTATTTTCGTTTTGCTTCATCTTTTTTTTTTTGCGTCTATTCTAACTTATTGCATTTTTACATATTGTTGTATTATATATCCTTTTTGGAATAAGCAGGGGACTAATACATAAATTCATTAAAGGAATCACTAAATGAGTTGGTTTATTTTACTGTCAAACTCCAGCTCAACTGTGCTTTCACAGAACTTAGGACATTGTATTTATATTATCTATATGTCTATCTTTTCCATTAGACTATGGATGGGCTCTGACGTACAGGCAGGGACTCTGCATATGTGCACGCATGTGTACGTGGTGTATATGTGCACAAGAGTGCAAAAGGGAGAGAGAGGAGGACTGATTCTCTCAACAGCGCACCACTTAATATGGTGTTTGATACGTCGTGTGTGCTGAATTGAATCAAGTTGTCCTAATGTGGACCCACCCTCTCTTTTTCCAAGTCGTCTCTCATCTGCTGATGTTCATGTTCGGTCAGTTCTTGGTCTCCATCTTGGTCATACTTTGTGAATATTGCCTCAATCTCAGCATCAGTATGGCCCTTCCTGAAATTATTGAGAGGATACAGATGAACTCATTTGTGTACATGGTCCAACCCAAACACAGAGACATCAAAACGCAGGAAGAAAGGAGACATTGTTGAATGGGGGCAGTCCTCCTCTTACAATATATTCCAGAAAGACACCCGCCTCTGGAAAAGAAGTGTCTCTCCAGGAATACTTGGGCCAAAGATGCCTTTATCACCAACAATTTATCTTTAGAGTCAGGAATTTTCCAGGTCCTCAGGAAATATGATTCTCACCCTTTGAGATCTTGTCGAAGTTCATCAAAGTTTAACTTGCCTCCCCCTTGCCGTAGACTTTCTGAAATATCATCCACAGTATTTCTTTTCAATTTCAGTTTGACCAAGGCTTTATGGTAGCCCTATGGAAACAAAAGACTTGGTTTAGTATATTCTCATTCTGCATTTGCTCTATCCATTAACAGTAGTAACTACTGTAAGGCCAGTGACCAGAAGATGAGTTGGTCGCTCAACATGTATGTGTTGAATCAATGAATGAATACACGTATCTTGAGATTTCCATAAAAACTCTCTTGTGGTAGTTATATGGAAACAGGCAGGATCTTTCAATAAATCAAGAAGAACTAAAGGTCTTTTGCTCATATGTATATTCAAGTTTAGGTGACAGAAATAAAAATTTCCATGCAGAGAAACTTGAGTCATGGACTGAACATTTATTTTCTCTGTTATCTCACAGTAAGTAATATCCTTACATATGTTAACTATGTAAAAAAATTCCAAAGAAATATGGATGAGGATATTTCACTAACAAACTTCAATTAGATCTTACTTTGTATGGTAGTGTGGGACTGCAAAAATCACCCAGCAAGCTGAAACCATGCAAAATGATATTATGATCACTGGGAAAACTATGATTGTTCCATGACCTTAAACAATTTCTGTCAAAACATTAAACCCTGCCTGTCAATTATAAATTTATAAAGAAATTTTAAAAAAGCAAAACTAATACTTATTTAGAACACTGAAATTTAAAACATTATAAACATTGAGAACTAACATGTTTTATTTCTTTGTAAAAAACTTATCAGCTGTAGTTTGAACAGTTCTTGCCTTCTTCTTATCATATAACCTGATACGGAGTGAGCATCTTTTCTCTTCCTTGGCTAATTGTCACACTCCTTTCTGTTTAGATAAACTTCTAACATTTTAGCCTTCGCACTTTCAATGTTGTGAATTATCTCTGAGAGTTGCTTTAATGTGAAGTATTTTTTCCCATGGAAGTTCCTGTAATGTGAAGCCTTTTGAATCACTTCCTCTGAGATACTACCATCCTTTACATCACAGTCAATCCTCATGTGTGTTCGTAAGTTTACCTTCACTAAGTTCCTCTGGCTGCCTATCCTGATTTATTGAGAGTCTGTCAAACAGCAATGGGTCAACATTCTCAGTCATCTGTATCTTCTATAATTACATTTACATTCAATTTGAATGTCACTTCTAGTGTTATCACTTTAGGAATACTGGTGGCACAGTGGTTAAGCGCTCATCTGCTAAGCAAGAGGTCAGGGGTTTGAACCCACCAGCCGCTCCATGGGAGAAAGATGTGGCAGTCTGCTTCCGTAAAGACTTTAGCCTTGGAAACCCTGTGGGGCAGTTCTACTCTGTCCTATAGGGTTGTTGAATTGGAATCTACTCGATGGCAATGGTTTTTTTTGGACGGGTTACCATTTTGTGTTTCTTTGCTATATGTTCATCTTTGCTGGCTAATTTCTCTCTTTTAATTATACATTTTTGTAAACTGTCAGTGTGGGTTTAACACTAGGAGACAAGCAGGCAACACAACTACATGCTTTGCTATTTGTGTATGAACTGGATAATGTGTGCAATGAGCAATCACCAGCAGACTTTGAAGTGATGTGACTGATCACTGGTCACACCATGCATCTGCTATTTATGTAATGATCTGTGGACTGAAGAGCTAGCAGTGAAGTTTGTACTTGATACTATTACCCACAGTTAATATACTGTAATAACTGAAACCTGAACCATGTTGCCTGGGAACTGGTATTACTTCAGTAAACCATGGTAATCAAAGCATGTGCATATCAGAACTGTGAAAAGTGAAGACCGGCTGTATACACACTGGAGATTTCCTAAAATGTAACTGACTGTTATGCAGAATTCAGGATAACATGATCGACTCAATGGCAACAGGTTTGGTTTTTGGTTTTTTAGATTCCGTCTCAGGGAATTTGTTTTAACAAGCTGAAGTGCTTGATTCATGATTCAAAGACAACAGACAGCAGTCCCATGGCCTGAACCAATAGAAAAATGTTATACTTATGGAGCCACTGTATCTTAACAAAACGATGTTTGGGAACAAGCTGTGTACTTTAAATGTAGTTATTTGTTGTTGTATAGTTTTATACTTGAAACCAAATAAAGAAATCACATTGAGAAGATCAAAGCTGCCCCAATTTCCTGTCCTGCCCTTCCATTTAACAACTATTTCCTGAGAAGGTGCATCAGTAAAAGTTCTCACGCCCCTAGGCTACGGCCTGAGTCCCTGTACCTTTTCCTTTAATTATTTTAAACTTTCCTTGGAAGGGCACGGTTAAGAGGTGAACGACCAAGTATTTTCCCCTCAAATTTTTTCTTTTCTTTTTAATGGTTTTTGAAGTAGAAGAGGTTGGAGGGTCTTTATATAATCTTCTCTTCCACTTTATTTTGAACTCTGGATCTCTAAGTGAAAGTCAACTAGAGGAGGTGTCAAGACAAATAAAGGACATGAAGCCGCAGTTCTGCTCTTTAAGAGTCAAGAGATTACCAGACATTTAATTCCAGAGATGGAAAGGATTCCCAGAATTTAAGTCCTAGGTAGGTGTATCCATCAAGGATCCAAGAGAGAGTATATTTAAACTATTCCTGAAAGAGAGCAATCTCTTCTCTATTTTGAACAATTTCAATGGATCGATGTTGATTTGGAAATCTGGCCAAAACAATGCTTATTTTATGTAGGAAATAAAACAATTTTTGAGAATTAAGGCTTTCATACCTTTCTGATAAGATCTGAGAGTTCCATTTGAGCTTTTTGCTGGGCCAAATCAGATTTAACTTCAGAGTAAGTATCATTGATGATGGCCAAAAACATATTCTGTTAGTAAATCAAAGAAACACAGAGATTAAAAAAAGGAATTTAAATATAATTTGCAAACATCAATCCAAAAATCTGGCACGTCTTTTTGCTTACCTTTTCTATAATTTGCTATCATCCCTTTGGGAAAATTATTTCCTCCATGAAATCAAATCAAAGGAAAATACAATATATATTCTTACTTATCATTACAAAACCACATACTGAGATACATTTCGCAAACAGGGACAAGAATGAAACACAACAAAATATTAATGCACCTATGAGTGGTGGGATTATTTTATTCTTTCCATCCATTTTTCTACATTTTTTACAGTTCACATAAATTACTATAGGTGTAGAACTCTAAAAAGCTCTTCAAATTTCAATAGGCAAAATGGACAAGTGGAATTCTATGCTTATTCCAAATATTATTATACAAGAATATTTAAGATTTACAGAGCATATTTCAAAGAACTGAAAAGACCTTTGCAAAAATCTTCATTGTGCTTAAAATGCTCTCAAAATAATTAATAGGAATACAGTCAGGTCTTCTAGGAAAAGAGTCAAGAAAAACTTGGTGGAAAAGACAGACTTTGAAGTCAGAAACTTGGGTTTCAGTCTTGGCACTGCCAACACTATGCTAATCTTTCTAAGCTTCAGTTTAAATTCTATTGATTTATTTTTACATTTACATAATAGGAAAATAATAGGCTTATTATAATTATAAATAATGGTGAGGATTAATATGATAATCTATATAAAATGCTTAAGACAAGGCCTGATGCATGGGAAGTGCCACATAACTTATAATTATTACTCAGTAGTGGTTAGTTTCTTTTCCTTTCCCCCTTCCGAATGGTTTCTATTTCTAACATGGTTTGTATTTCCAAGAGACTTTCTTGAAGCACCACATCCAACAGATCAGGTCTCTCTTCTACATGCCCTTCCTCTGTCTTTCCTTTCAGCACATAACTATGGTTTATAACTATATAGTTAGGTATCTGAGCACTACAAGGAGCCCTGGTGGCACACTGATTAAAGTGCTCAGCTGCTAACTGAAAGGTTGGTGGTTCAAACCCACCAGCTGCTATGCAGGAGAAAAAATGTGGCGGTCTGCTTCCATAAAGGTTACAGCCTTAGAAACCCTACAAGGCACTTTTACTCTCTCCTACAAGGTCACTGTGAGTTGCAGTCAACTTGATGGCAGTGGGTTTTTGAGTGTTCTGTCTTCCCCTATGTATGTGGAATCTTAATGAGGGCAGGGTTGGTCTCTCTTTTCCTTCCCATTGTATCCCCAGTATCTAGCACATTACCTGGAATAAGAGCAACTCAGCAAATAGTTATTGACTGACTGAATGAATGAACAAATGCAGGCTCTATTATTTTAATGGGTTAGGCACTGAATCTTTATGAATGAAGGAGGAATGCTATTTAAGATTCTGTAGCAGAAACGAGAATAGAATATACAATACATTAAAGTCCCTGGTCTAATGCTCAATTCCAAGAGCAGATAATTGCAGTCGGAGTAACACTTCCAACCTTCCTCCCAACCCACGCAATCAGAGTTCTATTTTTGCTTCCAAATGGCTGTTAACTAATGCCTGCAAATATCTTAGCTGAAATGGGTTAAAGTATGGATCCTCTGAGAAGGTTTTGAAAATTAGAAAGTGGCTGAGAAAGGCTCTTGAAGGTGTGGGGATTTGAAGTTCACCCTCCTCCTCTTCATCCTGTCTCAGAAGGTGCACTTAATTGCCAGACTGGGGTCTGCACTAGGAGGTCTTTCCCTGTTGATGATGGGACCTTTGCTTTCCTGCTGAGCTAGGCCATTTCACACCACAGAGGCTTCTAGGTAAGCAGGGGCAATTAACACCTGGCAGTCATCAGGGAAAGGTGGCCAGCCCTGCACTCAGCTTGGCTTTTTCTTATAAGAAAGATCTGTATCAACAATAGTTTAGCTTAATTAATAAAGAACGTCTGCCTTGAACATTGTGCTCTTTTAAAAAACTATCCGCACGGGATCAAACTGACAACAGCAACTTGAAAGGTTGGACAGGAAGTTTAGGGGGCAGTGAGTTTATTAATGCTGGTGGAATGATTTGGAAAAGGAGGGTAAAAATGGTTGAACAACTTGAAGAATGTAATCAATGTCACTGAACTGTACCTGTAGAAATTGCTGAATTGGTGTGTGTTGTGCTGTGTATATTTTCAACAACAACAACTAAATAAAATATTTTAAAAGAAAAGAAAGGTTTGTATCAACAGTAGCCTTTTCTCTCTTTTTGAGAAACGAAGGGATGGTAACTCCTTTTTGTGCGGTGGTATAAAAAATTACTTTCACATAAAAAAACAAAAACTAAGAGCTCCTTTTCTTGGTTCTGGTAATTGACCTGATAAAATAATTGAATAATCTAGGTCTTGCCTACTAAATGACAATTAAATGAGTCTACATTTAAGCATTTCCACCTGTGGCCTGAGGGAAACCAAAGGGTCAGCTCCAGAACTCTCACTCCCTGGTTTCTGCTTTCTCAGTAGAGATTCAGGTGCTCCAGAATCTAAAGAACTACTAATGTAGCAAAGGCTTACTTTTCCCCTCTATTTTTTTCTTTAATATATGACAGGAAACAGAAACTCAAGAGGCTTACATTTAAAAACTAGCCATGATACCTGCATACAAGATACTTAGACAACATTCCTGATCCTTTCAGTTCTTAGTTACAGTAGATCTAATACTCAACCAATACATACTATACACTACACTGAAATTACTGAAAATGTCATCATTCAACCTTATGTAAAGGACCTTTACAAAATCTATTAAAAATGAAAATAATTTTATTTTCTTAAGATGATGGTTCATGTAAGGAAAGTCTTAAATGCTACAGTTTAGATAAAAAATATCCACTGCCTAAGTTAAACTAATGTAATTTAATACTTTCTCAGGGGAACAATGAACATATAAGTGTTAAGATAAAGAATACAATGCCTTTTTTAAAAAATCTTAATTAACTTAGGGGAAAAAATGGTCATTTGTACCAAATAAACAGAATAAAAAAATTTTTTGAAAATAATTTTTTAAAGCAATTTCCATTCGTTGTTAGATTTAGTTTTAAATTTAATATTTGAATATCCTTTGCAGGCAATCTCTAGATGTGTGAAGTCTGAGTAAGTTAAAACAGATCTCAATCTGACAAGCAATACTTCACTCAAATAATACTCTTGACATCCTGAATATACTTTTTTCTGCTCTGTCAGTTCTTATTGTTTAAAAAGAAAAAAAGAAAGAAATGTCAAGTCATGCTAGCAAGTGACTATGAAAGTGCTGACATTTGTGTTAAAAAAGCACGTAAGCATATTCTACTTTTTAGACAAGTCAGCATTTTGGGTAACTAAAGTGGCATTGGATCTCATTTGTTGGCACTGATTAGACACATATATATGGGTAAATGAAAGACCATGGAAAAGGTACTTGGTTAAGACTTAAAACTTAATCAATGAAAAGGAAAATAAAGTTACGTTTTCCAGCACCTACATTTTTCCTACTTCCTGAATCTTTATTCAAAAATGATTGGGCACACAGCAGGAAAGAAAAGAGAAGACGGCGATTTATGAACATAAAGTTTAAATCCCCTCACTATAAACAAAAATGTACATACCAAAAGAACGAAGAACATAAAGAACACAAAAGTAGTGAAATAAATTGGTCCCAAAACTCGATTAGCTTCTTCAATCTCTGCAAAGTTGATATCGCCCAAAATGATACGGAACTGAGTGAAGCTATAAGAACAAAACAAAACACCAAAATACAAAAACAAAGAATGTCCAGCAGTTGATGTAACATTTCCTAAAGATGATTTCACACTCGAGAATCTTTTTAGCAGTGTAGATAGCTGCCAAATAATAGAAAATTGTCAATCCTTTCGGGAAACTCCTGCTAGTTATATAAATTGAAACCTTCTGAAATAAAAATAATATACTTTCATGCTAAATATGTTACTTTCACTTGGCAAAGAAGAAAACATAATTAAATTATATGAAGTTCCTATCTGATGACCTATAAAGCAATTGGCTATAAGAATTCAATACATAATCTGGATAAAACATTGTTACTCTAAATTTTTACAATGATCACCCTGGGTCTGAATTTAAAATCTCTTAGTCAAAATTGTATGTCTTCAAAGACTCAATGTGAGGCTCACATGTACTCAAAGTGGGGTCAAAGTGGCCAGCTGACTTTAATCAAACAGCAACATTAGGAATCTTCCATGCACAAAGCCCTATTAACTTCCATTATTGTGTTCTTCTCCTTTCCTAATAACTCCTTGCTAAATCGCATGGAAATCTGGTACTGGCTACTTTTTTCTGCTTTTAATATCATATTTGGGAACTTTGACAAAAGAAGACTAAAAATTCCTGTACTGGTCTGAGTTTCTCCTAGAATATTAGAAATACCATTTTTTCCCCTTAGAGCATAACTTGAAGTTCAACATATATGGTAACAATATTCAATAGGAATAAAAATATAGACGAATGGCCTTTTAAAAGCTACCATGTGCATGTGGTGCTAAAATGACCTCGATCTTCGGAATACTGTTGGTTTCTGAAGGTTGTTCTACTATTTCATACTACTTTAGGGCTGCTATATTAAGCATCAGCATTTTAGAATATATTGTCTTATCTGCATCAAGAGGTCAATGTTTCTGGGAAAGGTAATTAATTTTTAGTTTAAACAAATTTTTTAAACACTTGGTAGTCAAATAGTCATGAAGACTTCTTTATCTTTGACAGGGCACTGACATCTCTGATTACATTTTTCTTCTGAATTTTATATATACTTACATACACTCTTGGAAAGTACTGAAGTCATCAACCTGAGTGCCAAAGACAAGGTATGCCAACTGAGCGTAAGCTAAGAAAATGATGAAGAACATGATAGCGAAGCCAAAGAGGTCTTTGGCACACCGAGACATGGTCGTAGAGAGCTGGCTCATGGTCCTGTTAAAGTTGATGAATTTGAAGAGCTATAAAAGAAAGGGAAGAAATTGTTTGTTTGTTTTACTTTCCTCAAACCCAGGAACTTCTATTTTCTTGTTCGAAAAGTACTTGTGGAGTGTCTACCATGTGCAAGGCATTGTTCTTAGAAATTCCTGCTCTTATGCTGCTTACATTTCACATGATTATTAAAATATAATGAAAACAGGTTAATTAAAATGACTAGTGACATTCCCCTCAAAAAAAAAAAATTACAGTAAAAGAAAGACAGGGGGAAAAAAATCCTCCAAAATGAAAACTAAGTAAAAAATCAGGAAATACTTATTGCATATTAACACTGCCATTTATTGCGCGCCAACTATTGCCAGGCACCATGGTGAGGGCTTTATGTGTACTGTCTTTGCAATGACTGGAATATTGGTATTCTATCTCCAGGAGTCTTATCGAAGCTTGGAGGCAGAATTTGAACCCAGTTTTATCTGACTCCAAAGCCACATGGGAGTGTTTTTGTAGAAAAGGCATCGAGGATGCCTGCCTAGGTTGTGCAGTTCACAACCCAGAGGCCATCACAACTTGTACAGCTCTAGGTGGAAACCTTGGTGAAGGGATACATTAGAAGTATGCGTCACAATCTCCCCCTTAAAGAATCTCAATGGCAAAGTTTTGGAGACAAGATATTTATCAGGGAATCATGAACTAAAAACACACAGCCTGAGGCATACACTGGAAGGAACTCTAGAATTTTACTTAAAGGCCTCTTATAAATTAATGTTTCTGGCCTCAACAAATCTCTCTTTTGAGGGTTGTAATCACATTTCTTGATACAATTCTTATCACTTTGAGACCTTGATTATTATTACTATTTTATGATAAAGATTTGGTACTTTAGTGATAGTTTCTCCTGAGTACACATTTAGTTGAAAAAACAGGATGAGAAATAGCAAGATGAGGTCTGTGCCCTCTGATCAATCTCAGGTTTTCCAGGTGTGAACACCTGGTGAGTACCTGTGGTGCATACCCTCTAGAATGGTGGTGAGTTCCCTCTAGAACAGTGCTGTTCAACAAAACTTTCTGTGAGGATAAAAATGTTCTATATTTGCACTGTCCAATATAGTAGCCACTAGTCACGTGAATATTAAGCATGCAAAAAGTGACTAGCGCACTTGAGGAATTGAATTTTTAATTGGATTAATTATTAATTAAATTTAAGTAGCCACACGTGGCTAGTAGCTACTGTTCCGAAGCAGTCATAGAAGCTGAGCTGGTGACAGGTTGGAAGCTGCCTCAGAATTACTGAAATTTCCTGCATCTCCAGAATTGAGGCTCATGGTACACGAAATGCCCTAACCTTTCACATACATAGAAAGGCACAATATGCCTTGGGAAAAGAAGGAAATGAGTGATTAAGGAAGGAACTACGCAGAAGAGGAGTCTGTCCCAATCTCAATTCCAGGTAAAGATACCCTATGGCCTTCACCTGGAAAAGAGAGAGCCTTCCAGTAAGCATTTCCAAGCATAGCATCTCTTCCACTGCTCCATCTGGTTCTTCCTCCTCTTTTTACTTAGTTCCTTATTCTTCACCTGGTCACCCCATGTCAGGTAAAACTTGGACCTGTCCCCGTGTCAGAGCAGCCTGGAGCCGTAGGCCCAGCTGACATAATGAAAAGGCCTCTTATGCATTTTCTAAATGACACCTATAAGGACAGGTCTTGCAACAATGCGGACAGCAGGAGAAACAGAATCATTCGCAGTGAGATGAACGATCACATGAGCCCCAGTATGCTACTTTACATATAAAATATGGAGCAGCTTTGGATGGCCACTTGAATTTGGCCACAAAGGCAAATTCAAGTTCTCCAACATTTTCTATGACTCATGTTAATAAAGAGAAGAAAAATATTCTAAAAAAGCCAAAACATGAAATTTATAAATTACCTTAATCCAAACAAAAAATACAGTGACAGCAGCTACATTGTTGAACTGTATTTGCCAGTACGCCAGATGTTCAAAGTTAGGGAAAGTATTCTGATCTTCCAAAAACTCCATCAGCACCTCTACACTTGAAATTCTATATATGTTAATTCCTATAGCTACCACTGATAGCTGAAAAACAGAAAGATTTATATTTCATTACAATGTATTACAAATCTGTAACTTACCTTAGCTAGTTTATTTTTCTTTACCAGTATATAAATTCTAGGGCTCACCATTATTCCAACCCAATAGCATTCATAAAAGTCACTTGCACAATGGAGAGTGCTTAGCCTTGCCACTAAATAAGCAAAACAATATATTGCTTGCACTTTCTGAATCAGGAATAGAAATCCAATGAGTGTGATGATGCTGTAACAAAATCAAGCTCAAACAAGAACACCTTCCTTTTTTTCTGCCACTCTCACTTAAGTCACTTTCTACCCTTCCGCTTTCTCAGGCTCATCTTAATTTGTGTTTTTTATTTATTCTCTGCTTTCTCTTCATTTTCCAATTTCCAGTCTTCCATTGTTTGATTTATTCAACAAATACAGAGTGGATGCCTATGTACATAGCACTATGCTGGCGCTAAGAGGAATAAATGGAAGTAAAACATACAACCCGTCCTCAAGAAACTTATATACTCTGTTAAAGACCAGATAAATACACAAAGTTAAATGATACCAAAAACTTAAGAGTTGGCATAAGGTGAGGGGTGAAACGAGACATATTAAAAATGAGTACTCGTAAGAGGGAAGAATGAACTTAGTCTTAAAAGATGGCACGAGAGATGGACAGAAAGGGGTCGAGAAAGAATATAAGCGGGAATATATGAAAGCCAAGGGCTTTTCCCCTTTCTCATTGCTAAGTCTTATCTCATGACCATAACTTTCACATCTGCTTTGGTTTGGGCTATAAAACAAAATCTGAGGGGAATACGGGCCCCTACTTTGCATCCATCACCACTGGACTAAGATGTATTTATGTGGAAAGTATTAAGGTTACTTAACAACCTTGCCGTCACGTGGGGTCTGATTCCACAGTAACTGGGCTGTGGCTGGTCCTGCAACCTTTGCTGTTCATTCTCCCTCTCCTCACAGGTGAAAGCCAGAGACCACTTCACTAGCCCTTCCCAAGCTGTCTGTCCAGATCATGGCCAGGTTATCATCACAGCAATGGCCCGCATGGCTGCTGATCCCAGCTGAGCTGCCATTCAGAGCAACTTCCTTTTCCTCTCTGAAGGATTTCCAGAACTGATCTTATATTTTCATGCTGGTGACAGGATTATCTGTTTTGAGCTCTCTAGAACACACTGAAAATGTTTTTCCACAAGGATTTAGCTGAAAGGGAGGGAGAAGCTGAATTGGTTGGCTGCATGAACCCACAATAGCTCTTTCTTCAACTCTCCTTAAGTACAATTTGCTACTCTGGCATTTCCCCAATCTAGATGTTTTCACTCTGCACAGGAAAAATGTTTATAAAAATACAGACTATATAGTCATTTACACATTTTTTTCCCACTGCCATTGAGTCGATTCTGACTCATAGTGATCCCATGTGTTACAGAGTAGAACTGAGCTCCATAGGGTTTTTTTTAGCTGTAATCTTTATAGAACCAGGCCCTTCTTCCATGGTGCTGCTGGGTGGGTTTGAACCATTAACCTTTCGGTTAGTAGCTGAAAGCAAACTGTTTGTGGCACCCAAGGACCATTTATACAACATTAATATCACATTAACACACTAGATTTTCTTGAGACTTTAAAATATGGAATGAGGGAAAAGAGATAAAGAAAGAGATTTTGCGAGCATTTGAGTTCCATTATGTCACTCCTAAGTTTTCATCTTTGGAATTCTCATCCCCATCTACAAAGACTTTCTTCCCCTACAGAACATAAGCTTCAGGAAGACAAGAGTTTTGATTGTTTTTTTTTTCACTCCAATATCCTTTATGGCTAGAACAGTGCCCGGTACATAGTAGGTGCTCAGAAAATATTTGTTGAATAACTGAATCATTTTCATCCTGTGAAACCTTGCAATCAATCAAATTCTCTGAATTTAGACTTATTAGAATTCTTTCAACAATTCTGCTAGTTTTGAAAGACTATTGCTTAGAACAAATGATTAAAGTAAGGACTTCACAGTGTTTATTAGAGAAACAAAAAAGGAAAATAGAAGGAAAAATTGCAAAGTAATTCCAAGATATTGTTATATTTAGGAGACCATTTCAAGTTTCAGGTGAACATAACCAAACGTGGGCCAGATAAGGCCAAAAGCCTTGTGTTATGGATTGAATTGTGTCCCCCAAAAATGTGTATCAACTTGGCTAGGCCATGATTCCCATTACTGTGTTGTTCACCATCCTGTGATCTGATGTGATTTTCTTACGTGTTATAAATCCAGCCTCTCTGATGTTAGTGAGCCAGGATTAGAGGCAGTTGTGTTAATGAGGCAGGACTCGATCTACAGAATTAGGTTGTATCTTGAGTTAATCACTTGAGATATAAAAGAGAGAATCCAGCATAGAAGGGAAGGGACCTCCTACCACCAAGAAAGCAAAGCCAGGCGCAGACCCGGAGTCCCTGCACTGACAAGCTCCCAGACAAGGGGAAGACTGATGACAAAGACCTTCCCCCAGAGCCGACAGAGAGAGAAAGCTTTCCCCTAGAGTTGGCACCCTGAATTCGGACTTCTAGCCTCCTAGGGAGCCCTGGTGGCACAGCGGTTAGTTAAAAGCTCAGCTGCTAATCAAAAGGTTGACAGTTCGAATCAACCAGCCACTCCTTAGAAACCTCCTGTACTATGAGAGAACAAATTTTTCTTTGTTAAAGCCATCCAGCTACTTGTGGTATTTCTGTTATAGCAGCACTAGGTAACTAAGAAACTTTGGCTTAGGTTAGAAGGTCTAGTGGTGAATAGGAAGGACGTGTCTAGTGGTGAGCAGAAAGCATGACCTAACTCTACTTGGTCAGAGAAGGTTCAAAGAGGAAGTGGGATACCAGGAGCCGTTGTTCTTGATAAAAGCACAGTCTGAAATGTCTTGGCAGCACTAAGAATTAAAAAAATAAGAACAATAGCACAGTGAAGCAAGTTTCCAAAGAAATGCTTGCAAATGTGGTGGCTGCTGAGCCAAGGAAACTATCTTCAATTTCCGTGACTTCATCAGCTATTCTTTTCCAGTGGTCTCTAAAGTGGGGACAAAGCAACCCACTGGGGTGTGGGAAGAAAATATCAGAACTTCTATGCAGGTGGTAAGAAGGTTTAAGAATTCTATTTGTATTTATTTTTATCTCAAACATTTAAATTCTATGTATGTGTATAGTATATGTCCAGTATATAAATAAATATGTATATTAGATGTACCAGTATGTGTGTAGTCAAAGTTTCACTGAGAGGTACATGATCAAAAAAGTTGGATACCACTGACTCACCTTTTGTTGGTACTGAAGTTTTTTGTTGTTGGTATTGAAGTTTTTTGGTTAAAAAAATAAAGAAGCCTGTTACTAATAAGCATAAAATCACACTTTTTTGGTTTACCTTTACCCTAAATGACCTAAATATAAGCATATCCATACAAAGCAATAAGCAGGGTTTACATCCTCAGAGTTCCAAACAATAATTATGTTCTAGACTGTTAATGAATATGGACTGCAGTCTGCCATCACTCAGGAGAGAGGTATCTTGAAAAACTATTTCCAGTATCATGGCCTCTCTTGCCTCCTTAAATACCGAAATTCTATTGAAACTGTGCTCATTGTTAATATGTTGAGAATTCTGGATTCGAGGGCATTACCTATAGTAATTGTGCAATGTTACACACCATTCTGAAAGAAGGGATGAGCTTCTAACTGCATCAGGTTAGACGGGTTCCACACTGTATTGCTTCTATAGGAATTTTTACCTTGAGTAAAAGCTAAATCTTTCTGAATTTGTATTAGGTGTATGTATACATGGTTTAAGAGGGAGTGGCACAGTGCTTCAGAGGATTATTTGTGAGGATTAAATCACCTTCTGCGTATGAAAAGCACTTGGAACTGTGCCTAGGACAGAGTAGCTTCTAAAGTATTAGCAATTATTCTTATATTATTGCTGCTATTGCTAATATTGTTATTCTTTTTTATGCCTTAAGTGTTCTTTTACCCACAAAGGAATAAAATATTGTCTATGTCTTATCAACTAACTCTAGTGAGAAAAGACTTGATAACAACTTGATGTAAATGTGTCACAAAGCCCAAACTACTTTTTAAGGGTGAGGTGGGAGAAAGAATAATGGGCATGAAGTGGGATCACAGAAGAGAGAACACTAATAGGGTAATGCATCACTTACTCGAATTTCATAGGTGTATCTCTCTCTCAAGACAATGGGAAGGAGGGTCACAGAATAATATTCGTTACAGCTGTGCCAATCAAAACTCTTAAGCACACAACAATTAAGCACGCTGTTATATGCTTAAGTGTGTAGCAGGACTTAGCAAAATCTGGTGAAGGGTAAAAAGCTTGTAAAAATACATTTTTACGCTGAGGCCTCAGAAAGGAAGTGGTTAAGATGTTGCTGATGGGGAAACATCTTGAACAAGTGTTAGAAATTATAACTGAGTCAAGGCAGGCACAGGATCTATGGTCTTGCCTATATCATAAATCTGCCTTATGGTTTCTCGTATCTCATACAGAAAACCTTGAACATCATAACTTAAATTTTATCCTTTGTGGAGTATTTGCAAGAAATTTTAAACTGCGGGCATGTTTTCCCCGCCACTCAAAATATTCTCAGGGTGCTTCTTCTTGCCACAGTTTATACACATGCAGAAAAATATAAATTAATTTTACTAGCAGCTGGAGAAAAATATCATTAGTGAAAAGCAAAACAAAGCATTTTTTCCTCCCCCACATCTCACATGGCATGCCTAAGTCAAATATGAATTGCTGAGTCATACTCAGTGTTAGTCCCTAGCTGAGAGCTTATTATAAATGCAAATTCAGAATGGTGACTCATGCAAAATGGAAAATGACTAAGCTGAAATTGATATAACAGAGAAGTTTCAGATTCTCCTTCTGAGAACCAAGACCCACAATGCTGAGGAAACCAAAGACTCTAACATGTATTTATAACTAAGCATGGAATTTGGTATTATTCTCAAACCTACCACGATGATCACAACATCCAGACAATTCCAGAAACTCCTGAAATACTGTAGCTTGTGAATGCGAATTTCCAATATCTCTTCCACCACATAGTAAACGATAAAGAAACAAAAGATAATCTCACAGGCTGCCAGGAAGTAATCAAAGGTTGTGACATATCGGATCAGCTTTACAGGTTGAAATTGCCAAGATGGAATCACACCACCTGTTGCTGGGAATTCAACCAACAACCTGCGTTGCAATAAGAACAATTAAAACAACACATGGGTGTAGCTCGGAACAGCTATTCATCAATTCTGCCCCTGCACCATAAGGTAAAAAAACTGCTGCCACAAATCTTCCCAAACTAGCTGCAAAACATTTTACCCAGCTAACTCCGTATTGGAGAAGTTTGTGCCACAAAAGGAACAGGACTTCCCCAGCCCTCCCAGTTCAAAGGATTACCTCCCCCTCAGTCGCCCCTCTGCTTTTCTGGTGTTTATACTGCGCAAGGTGTTGTACACCTTTTTTTTAATGTAAAAAATTAATCAACAAATACGTTCTTTAGAACTTCTATTAAATGCAAGTCATTATACTCAGCAACACAAAAAACATAAGGGAGAAAAGTCATTCATTCAAAACATGTCTGTTCTGGTTGAAAAGTAAGAGATATATTTTGTATACATATGCGGATAGGGACAGAGTCTCTCATTCATTCATTAGCACTGAATAGTTTACCTTGCTGGGAGGTATTTTTTCTATCCTTCCCAGAGGCTCAGTTAATAGCTGCTCAATAAATGTCTGACGTCTGAAATAGTAATATAAATTTTTTACATTCATACTGATGCCACTGATCTATAGTGGTTTACCATGATTGAAGTGAGGATTTTTCTTGCCAAATTCCCATTTTGTAGGTGTCACACTGTCAAACAAGAAATAGAATTTCTAGCTCCTTAACTTTAAATCTTTTTAAAGACTTTCAGTCAGCTATTAGGTATAACTATCTCTCTCATTACTAGGTATGGGTAGCCAAACCTAAATCCTAAGTATCCAGGACCCATACGTGAGCAATAATCAAGTAAAGACAGGGACTACGGCAAACTAGAATTGGTCAAAGAAACATGTAAATTTTTCTTCCCTCTTTCTTGTTCACTCTCGTGTTCTTCTTTCTTTCTTATTTAATGTGTTGGAGAGCAGGGGCAAGAACCAAAAATTCACAATACGGAAATGAAGAGCCTCGTGACAACCTCTGTGTGAACTCCAAAGGGGAGGGTATTGCCTCCAGGTGCCAAGTCATCACTCTCAGACCTATTCCGGCCCCGCGTCTGTCAACCACTTCCAGATGCATAGAAAACACTGCTGAGCAATGAAGTAATTGCCTTGGCAATACTCATTCTTAAAGTATGGAGAGGAAGTGAAATACTTAAGACCTTCCATAAACAGGTATTTACTTAAATGTCTATCAGAGTTGCCTGCCTGTTTTCATCCTCTTTCTACCTTCGCTGGGGTCATGAGAGAAAGTTAATAATAATTGCAATAGATTTTCATTCATTTCTAGTAGTAACCAGTATTTGATTTAATGTGTTATTTTCCTCAAAAGCTGTTAAATACAAGGACTGGAAAAAAGCCCACTAGCCTTGTAAAGCAGAGAATGAGTTTAGCTTCAAAAATGATGACAAAATAAGGATGAGAATTACTCCTTATCTTGTGTGTAAATACATGTGCACGTAATCCATGGTAGTATGTTTGAGTGTTGCCAACAGGTTCACCAAGAGGATTAAAGTGGGTGAACTCGGGATCATCCTGGGTCCGCTCTACTTTTTCTTTTATTTAATAACACTTGTTACCTTCTGTCGTTAGTTGCCATCAAGCCGATTCCGACTCACGGCAACCCCATGTGTGCAGAACTGCTCCAAAGCGTTTTTATGGCTGTGACCTTTTGGAAGCAGATCACCATACTTGTCTTCTGAGGTGCCTCTGGGTGGGTTTGAACCACCAACCATTCAGCTAGTAGTCGAGTGCTTAACCCTTTATGCCACCCAGGGACTCCTTGTTACCTTTTAACATATGATAAATTTGTTTATTGACTATCTCCTCCTGGTGGATTGCAAGCTCTGCAAGGGCGGAGACTTCTGTTCTCTTCACTGATGTATCCTGAGAACCTAGAACAGTCCCTGGCACATCTTAAGTGCCCCACAGATGTTTGCTGAATGAATGAATGAACAAGAGAGGTCCCAAACAAGCCAGTGGGATCTGTTTCCCATCTGCCACTGAGTGGCCATGACGGCATCGTCACAGGACTGTGGAAGAAACTTTATGTGCCCGTGATGAGTCTGGAGCGTAAGCTGGTACTGGGGTATCCTACTGAACATCGGGAATAGCCTGTGACTACCTGTGACTGTGCTATGTACCAATAGCTCGGACATCATCTGAAAGTGGGAAACTCAGGGAAATGAGGCAAGATGGCCAGGGTACTTAGTGAAGGAGCATGCAGCACTGACTGTCCTCACTGATGGTTAAGGATAGATGGTAGAAAAATACAACACTTCTCCCAGAAAGGTTCTGGAATGGGAAGGAACTTGGAACAGACTTAAAGCTCCTTCCAACTCAAAATATTCTAGGATCTGAACACCTCCCCACCCCAAATATCATTACCCCAAGTAAGCCTTGGGTTTTCAGCTCTGCTATCAGCCCTGATCCTTGGCATCCTCATTTAGCCAACTGCAGGGAAGGGTTTTCTGGCCTGTCTCCAAAATAGGACGTTCACACAACTACACACAAATGGGAGGGATGGTGCCCTCAGCACACACCTGACCACACAGAACAGGTTAACGTTGGCATTGTACACTGAAAAGTCAATAAAAGCTGCCCTAGTTCCTCGATCCAGCCAGCCATTTTTCTTGAGGCTAGCAATCTGGGCAGCTGTTTCCTCTCTTGTTCTTGACAAATCCAGGTAGTAGCCAGCTCCACTGTAAGTCGCAGTCATTCCCCAGTGGCTACTCCCATTCAAGTCTTTTTCACTTGTGTAGATCCAACTAATTAAAAACAAAAACGAAACAAGCAGGTAGAATCAGTCAAACACTTACTGCAATTACAGACAGTTGGTCCCTGCTAAGGTCAAAAATATGTCATAGTTACTGCTTTTATCAAGCCAGGTAATGGGCCTGCCATGGCACTTCGTAAGTGCTTTCTTATTTAATTCTCAGATACAGCTATTAGCCCCATTGTAGAAAAGAGGGCCCTGAGGCTTAGTGCAGTTAAGTGGTCCCATAGATTGTGAGGGCAGAGTCAGGAACCCACACCAGGACTCTATGTCTCTAGAGCCTGTGCCCTTAGCCCTTAGTTTATATGGCTGCCTTCCCTGGGTAACTGTGCTCAGATGACTCTAGGCTCCCAAACAAAAATGCAGCCAAAAGAAGGACAAGTTTATGAAGCTCCACTGTCTGCAAATGACCTACGTTAAGATTCCATACAACATTTGGGGATTTAATCCACTACTGTTTACAGAGGATCTCTTCGCAACCAGATGATTCTTTGGCACCAATGGGAATACAAAGACGAACCAAGAGCACCCCGCCCCCCCCAATTTATAATAAATAGGGATAGAAAAGTTGTAATTAAACAATTAAAATACAAGTTAGATGATGGTAAGAACCAAAAGAGAAATATAGAGAAGATGCTATGGCAGTTCAAAGGGACGGTATCCTTGCTAGGGGTCTGGCGATCGGAGAGATGGATCAAAGGAGGCTTTGGGAAGAAGCTGTACCAGACCTGGGCTGTGAAGAGTAAGTAGGATTTGGACTTGCACAAGTGGATGACAAGGGCACTGTCAAGCATTGAGCGAGGCAGGGCCAGAGAAGTAGAAGGTGCCCAACGAGTAGGTCACTATAGTTTCTGTATGATGAGGAAAAGAAGGCTGAGGGATAGACTGTGGTCAGACTGTGAAGGGTAAGTGTGAGGGGGTCCTTAAAGGGAAGGGGTCTGAGAGGCACAGAACAGGATTACTCTGATGACAGAGTAAGACTGGGAAGTCTGGAGTGGTGAGGAGAAGAGGGCTCAGGGACAAAATGAGCTGACATAGCAGACCTGAGATTAATGCCCTTAAAAAGGCCTGCTTGCAAGGTTGGACCTTGCCTGGCATCTGGAAACCTGACTGATAGGCAGTGTTCTACACTGACAGAAAACCTTCCCAAACTGATAAGAGTGGCTCACTGTGCCTAAACTATTGGTACAAACAATATAGCTTATGCTGAACACCTGCTTTCCTTTTGAGAGTCTGGAAATTTTCATTCATGGCTAGCTGATGGTGCCCACGTGATCAGCCCTCAATAAAAACCCTGGGCACTAAGTCTCTAATAAGCTTCCCTGGTAGATAACACTTTGTAAGTGTTATCACAGATTGTTGCTGGAGGAATTAAGCATGTCCTGTGTGACTCCACTGGGAGAGAATGCTTGGAAGCTTGTGCCTGGTTTTCTCCGGTCTTTCCCCAGAAGGCTTTCTCCTTTGCTGACTTTGCTTTGTATCCTTTCGCTGTAATAAATCTTAACTGTGAGTATGACTCTATGTGGGGTCCTGGGAGTACTTCTAGTGAATCACTGAATTTGCGGTGGTTTTTGGAGTCCCTGCCCTCAAGAAGCTTGCATTCTGGTGGTGAGCTGAGGGCATGAAGACCCACTTTAACAACATAATGGAAGAAACAACATGGTGTAGTAGAAGAAATAGGAGCTTTGGAGCCAGGGAAGTATGATTAAATCGCAGGTTGGTGATTTACCAGCTGTGACACTTTGGGTAAGTGAGCCTTAACTTCTTCATCTATAAAATGGAGACAGCAATACCTATTTCATAGTTGTTTTGTGAAGGGCAAATGAGATAATGCATGAAATCCCTTCTTCTATAGTGTCTGGCACAGAGTAGTGACTCTATAAATTTCTCGTTAATGATGAGATATAAAGAACAATACGGGAAAAGGTACCACAAGACCTTTTCAGGAACTAGAAAGCGGTGAGTTAGGAAGCAAAAATCACTATTATAACCTGGAAAAAACGTTTTTCAAGATTATTTAGTCTCTTGAACCCGAATCTTCTGATTTTACTAAATTGGTTTCTAACAGACCCTGGAATTAAGTAGGGTGCGCACTGGACGGTAGACAATGAATCTAGGCACGGAAAAGATGTGTGCCCTATTGCACAGTAACAAACCTGTATTCTGTGGCGATTCAGTTCCGGGGACAGGATCTAGGTGAGCTGACAGAATTAGGTCTCCAAACCTGCAGGCTTAGAAGACAATTCTGGACCAAAGGCAGCAACCCTGAGACCCACCTTAAAATAGCCCAAGAGCTTCCTCCATTTCTTTATAATAACTATAATGATTCTAAAAATAATGATTATCCTCCCTTAATATGTGAGATTTGAAGCACAGCTACGCAAGTGCACATGTGCTTGCACACGCACGCACACACACACACACACACACAACCCTCCAAATATGCACATGTACAAATACATACTCAAAATCATAAACACACCTTTGAGAAGGCTGGGATTTAAACCAGACAGAAACACTGCCATACAAGCTTACTGTATACTGTAAATAACTGCATTCTAAACAAAAATTTTACTTGAAAGAGCTAAAAAAACATTTTCTGTACCAAAAAATGTCCTAGTTACTGAGAAGTCTGGCTCCTGGCTAAAAACTCATGTGTGATTTTTCAGACCTGACCACAGGTGATTACAAAGGCTTCACCTGACAGGCCTTGGGGCAAAGCTGCCCCCCCCACCAGACCTGGTGCACAGCCAGAGCATTAAGGGAGCCAGCCAAGGACTCAGGCACCCCTAACCCCTCCCTCCCACTCATGGTCTTTTGCATTCCGAGCCCAGGCACCTCCATATGGAGGCCTCTTTATTGGAGGCATTCTGAGGAGGCTTTCCTCAGGCACCTTGGCTGAAGCTTCCTTATCAGAGGGGACGGGAGGAATCTTAACCTCGAGGACACTTTTCCCGACAGTGCCTCAGTACTTTTCCACCACTAGCACTTCCATCCTGCCCCCCATGAAGCCCATAAAACTGCAGGAGTCTTTTTGTTTGGGACTCCCTCCACAGTGAGAAGGGCCCCACATCTGCATTGATCCACCTGATCCTCGCCTGGACACCATTCTTGGGGAAATATGGAACAGGCGGGAGCTGGGTGCTGTTCTCTGGGTTTAATCTCTTGCTTATACTATCACAGTAAGGAATTAAAGGCTTGACTGCTACTTTCATCTTGGCTAGTTGTCTTAATAGGCTTCTTGGCTTGCAGCTCAGCTTCCTAACCTAGAGAAAGATATTATTGGGTCTATAAAAGTAGAATTCAAACATCTTACAAGAAACTTCCCAAAGCTCAAGTAACTTCTTTTCTGCCAGCTGTACGGTCCACGATTCAGCCTTTTGAAGAATACGCATACAGAAACTGAAATGGGTAAAAAGTAGAGAAACCAAAGGTCTATTTGGCCAAGGCCTTAAACATAAGCACTGAAGAGTCATGTAAGGCATCTTTCCCTTGGTGAAGGAACCAGAGAATGAATGCATTAACACTAGTGAGATGTCAAATGCATGTGGTCATGAGCCATAGACACTTACGCGGTCCCATTTCGAGGACCAAATGGAGCTCTGTCTTCGCTACTGACGGAGTAGACATCATAGCATTCTTTAATCTCACTTCTCAGGTCCTGAGGGATAGAGCAGGATCCGTTTCTGACTTTGAGTTGCCGTATACGTGGTACCCCTAACAGCAGGTTCTCGTAGTAAATGAAGCTTCGGTTGTCAGCTTCAGTTGTGTTGCTGGGCTGCATCTTCCAGTACAGCCCATCCAACAAGGAGCCTTCTGCGAACTGAAAGCAAAGAAAACATTTTTGGAAAGTTCCAGGTTCAGAGTCTGCCCTTGCTCCTACCTGGAATGTTTGTGTGACCAACAGTATGGCAACCTCATGAACGCAGTAGTCACAAGAGTGGGCTCTGCTGTCAAAAAGCTTTAGGTTCGGACTTTGCGCCATCATTGCGGGCTGTGAGGCCTTGTGCAGAAGCTTCCTCTTAGCCAGGGTTCCTGCATCTGTAAAATCCATCTTTGTACGCTTACTGTCCCTGGCACAGAGTGGGTGTTTAATAAACGGCAACTCCGATTTTTATTCTAGGACCAAAGGGAGAGGGAGCACAAATCCACAACTATGATCAACTCCACTTTCCCTTATTAAAATAGGAAAACCAACATAATTCTGGCTCTAAACTTGTTTGGAGAGGAAAAGGTTAGAGTTTCTTTGTTTTTTAAATTTTTGGAGAAAATACACACAGCAGAACATAGACCTATTCAACAATTTCTACACATACAGTTCAACACTAGTTACATTCTTCACACTGTATCACCATTCTCCCTATCTCTACGCATATTGTTACTCCACTATAAAGATTTACTATCCCTACATTTCTTATCTATGCTTTAGGGTTGCTGTTGTCAGTTTGATCTCATACAGATAATTCTTTAAAAGAGTGCAATATTCAAGGTGAACATTCTTTACTAATTTAGCTAAGTTGCTGTTGAAAGATGACTTCAGGGGACAGTTTCGTTTTTTTTTTTTAATACATAACATTGTTATGAGACCCTAATTGCTCACCCCAGTCTGCGACAGCACGCTCCTCCTTTCCGCCCGATTCCCCATGACCATTCAACCAGCTCCTCTCTCTGCCTTTCCATCTCACCTCTGGACAGAAGCTGCCCCTTTGGTCTCTTGTATCTACTTGACTAAGAGGCACACTCTTCACGAGTATCACTTTATGTCCAGGGGACAGTTTTGATTCGAGGTTTAAAGATTTTTTTTCAGGGCAATAGATTTGGGGGTTATTCTAGTCTCAGTGGGTCTAGTAAGTCTGGATTCTATAAGAATCTGAAACTCTGTTCCTCATTTTTACCCCTTTTGATCAGGGTTCAGCTACTGAGTCCTTGATCAAAACACTCAGTGATGGTAGCTGGGCACCATCCAGTTCTTCTGGTTTTTCATGGCAAAGGAGGAAGTTCATGGAGGCAACCAGACATGCAGTCCAGTTTCTTCTCTGGTTCCTGGGTCTCCTTCTTCCTCTACTGCTCCCAGTGAACAGAGACCAATTGTCGCATCTTGGATGGCTGCTCGCAAGCTTTTAAGACCCCAGGCGCTACTCACCGAACTAGGGGGTAAAACAGAAACTTTAGAAACAATATTAGGCCAATTGGCTGGACAATCCCACAAAGTCATGAACCTAAAATTTTGAACTGAGAGAGCTAATTCCATACAGTGTTTGGCTGTACCTAAGCAGTATCAGCCACTGCAGCCTTTTTTTTCTTTTTTTTTTCCTACTGTTGTTATATGTAACATAATACTTGCCATTTTGCCTTTTCTGGTGTACAACCTAGGAAAAGATTAAGTTTTAATCATCTGTCTGGTTTGATTATCTGGTGGATCTTCTAACTGCCGGGATTACTTTGCTGTATGCTGAATTCTCCAACTCCGTTCCCCACTTTTAGATTTTGACATTTATTTTCATGGGATTGTGTATATGTGAGATGTCTCTTGCTAGCTTGCAAAACCAGCTGTACCTATAGGGAAGACAGAGCTAGCCATAGCTAGCCATTTCTCCTTGCCTTTACCCTTATCAGCTAATCAAGAGAGATGGACTGATCTGGCCGGCTGAGTGTGGTTTGAGATGTCAACTATTTTAATGTGTTAATTGGTTCCTATGACTCAGTTTCTTCTATCTTTAAATCAACATCTCTGACTATAAGGTTTAGTAAGAATTTTAGGAAGCATCTCCCCAGGGAGAAATAATCATTTCCCTTCTGATTTTCTCAGACTCTGAGCACTATGTCGTCCAGGTCACTTTAGTATTTTTCCTGTAGCGTCACTCATTGCTTATACTCCGCTGCCAAGTCGGAGTTTGTGACAATCTGGGAAGGGGCTGGGTGGAATTTTACATTAGCAGGTCTTTGAAAGACTGTACCTATTGTCTGTCAGGCACTGTTCTAGAAGCTGAGGGGTACGTGCTATCATCAACAGAGAGACAAAAACAAAGAAAGCAAAACAAAACAACCAAAACTCTGCCCCCACGGACCTTATGTCCCAGCAGATACTCAATAAATATGTACTGAATCTGTGAATGACTAAATGAATTATAAACTAGGGTAAGTTAAGTGGCTAAAAAAAAAATCCATTTTTTTAATTCCCTAGCCATGTGACTATACGCAGGCAAACACTCTGAATCTCAGTTTCCTCATTAACAAATGGGGGATAATACTAATGCTTACCTTGTAAGGTTACAATAAGGATTAAATAAGGTAACACAGGAACACCTAGCCAATGCAAGGCACATACGAGGTGCTCAATAAATGGGAGTTTCTCCTCTCTTTGAGTGTAGGAACTATAATTTATATAGTGAAAGCCGGAACTTGATGGGACTGCCTTGTTTTTCTGGGTCTTGCAAGTTTGCTGCCTTTAGATAGCGTGCAGTCTTATCATTTTCCTATCGCTCCATTTTAGCGGAAAATATTTGAGTTTTCCTTCTCTGACAGGCTTCCGCCTTACACGGGTCCCGACTTTTGCAGGTTTTACCGTAACAACTTACCATACCTTATAATACCTCACACGGTGGTAAGCACATAGCAGGGCTTGAACTTAGGAAGCGAAAGTAATGGTTTCCAGTGGTAGAGGTACTTTCAAAGTTATTTGCAAATACCTTCCAAAAGTCTTCCATCGAAGAAAGCGTTCTGAAGTTCGTTTTCTCCGTCTTGGACAGTGGGGAGTCTATGAAGAGCTGTGACATCACCCGGGTGTAGTAGTACACACTGGAGCTCATCATGCCATAGGTCACTGGAACACAGGAAGAACCTGGTGAACTCCACAAAGGAGGCCTGCACACATCACACGCCAGCTCTTCCACCAGGGATAACTCCTGGCGGATGGACGTTTTGAAACAAATATCCACATAACATATACTCTCACCTTCGCCTTCCTTCCCCCTCTCATTCTTCTACGACATCTCCCCATCTCTCTGGCTAACAGAGCCTTGCAAAGTAAACTTATTAATATTGGGCTATGTGACATAAAGGAGACCCTGGAGGGTGCAAACAGTTAAACACTCGGCTGCTAACCAAAAGGCTGGAGGTTCAAGTCCACCCAGGGGTGCCTTGGAAGAAAGTCCTGGGGATCCACTTCTGAAAATCCAGCCATTGCAAACCCTATGGAGCACAGTTCTGCTGTGAAATACATGGGGTCACCATGAGTTGGAACCAACTCTACCGCAACTAGTATGTGAAACAAAATTGGCTTACTATTGAGTATCAAATTAAGGTCAGGTGCCTTTGAGTGACATTTAGGACTTCCGATATGCCTACTCAATTTCATCTCCCAGCAGTCCAGGATCAGCCCTCGTCAGTTAGGCTGGTTTGACGCAGCCCCAACAGAGAACACGCTGAGCTCCGACTCCTGCAACTTGCTCTCCCTACAATAACGTGTGGCTGGCCATTCTTAGTTTGCCCTCACATCAGTTCTCCGTTCTTCTCTGCCTTGCTCTGTGTCCTGAGGCTGAACAAATGGGGCTAGAGAAGACAGGTTAGAGGTTTGATCCCACCACCCCTACTCTCCATTCCCTCACCGCCTGGATGCAATTGACAGTGGGTCCTCCAACCTTGGCCACAGCGGCTGGGGACACCCTTGTCTAATGGCTACCACTCTCACTGGTTCACGCCACCCCACTTCTTCCCCTCGCCCCTTCAGGCCTGGAGGTTGTAGCCTTTTTTTGGGTGCCCTTAGCCCTGACACACCTCTGCAAATAGTCCCTTATTAAACTTTGACTTGGCCCTCTCTTTACTTCCAGGATCCTTACTGGAACAGACACATCTGCTTCCCACCTACCAATCAAACCTACCCCAAGCTACCCCCGCCAAGACTTCCTGATTATACCAGACCCAAAGGAATGGTTCTGGAAACAGGTGGGAAAATAATTTACAGGCTCCGTAGGTCAAAGGAGATCAGAGCTTGAATCTTGCCCCTTAGCTGTTATGTGACCTGTGCAAGTTGCTTAAACTTTCCGAACTTCAGTTCTGTCTTCTGTAAGATAGGGATAATGATCTAGTCCAGAGGTTTTTTGGTGCTTAAATAATAACTAAAAATTAGCTCAGTACCGACACTTCACAAGTGTCCAATAATGGTGGTTCCCCTCCTTAATTGGATTGCTATAACACATCTGTTACAAATCTCAGCACTTTAGTAAGCACTGTCTTGCGCTGGACTCTAGTGCCTGCAAGTGCAATATGCTACATAATTCCTATAATCAGCTGACAAAAACCTCCAAAGGGAAGGAAACATGTTTTATAACTCTTTTGAATACAGCTTCTAATAGTTCTGAAAGCCCAGCAGGTTAGTAATACTTAGTTGGATTTCTCCTTCAGATAGCCCCTTTCACCTCCCAAGCACCACAGAAAATCAAAATTATTAAAGGAGAGGAGAACACAATATTGATCCAAACACAAGTGTGCCTGGGAGTCGATCTCAAGCAATCAATGCAGCAGTAAATATACATAAATACATGTATCATACACACGTCTGTGTACCTTATCTCGAAGGGCAGGAATATGTCCCAGTCCTAGAGTCCCTCACCTGCTTAGTTCTCTCATCCTATGATCCAGTGTAATTAGGACAAGAACGGTCCTCTTCAAAAGTGTTACATGGCCTGCCACCTCTCACAGCTGTATTGGGCCAGAGTTAAAGGGCTATAATTTTAATCCATTCACATTTATGGAATGGCTACTGGACATGAAGATGAGCAAGATATGCTCTCTGTCCTTTCTGAAAAGGAGCTCATACTGTCCCCAGGCAGAGCTGCATATCCAGCTCCCAGAGGGATGGACCCAGATACAATGTACTCGGCCAAGGTCTTCTGTGAATCCAAAGTCAATCAGGGAAAGAAGCTGATACGATACTGAAGAGTACTAGCAAAAGCTTCCCAGAGTCAACTAAATGATTATTTTCAATTAACTTAAAATTTCCTCTGGATTTATTGATTAATATTGATCATTAACCTGTGGGTTTTGTGTGTGTGTTTTTTTTTTAGGGGGGTGTTGTTTTGTTAAAAAGGAATTTTGATGAATTACTTAGTTTTTTTAATTTATAAATTATGATAGTTATATGCAGATATGCAAATATAAATATTTTAATCACCGATATAAAAATACATGCCTTTTATTTTCCTACAGTGCTCAAGACTCAATATTGATTTTTGCTTTTGAAATTCTCAGGACCTGTACTGGCCCTAAGGGCTTCACTAAACGGATCCTCTTAGCTATGTAGCGCCACCTGCTGGACAGCTGGAGAAACGCCAGCAAGTTTGCAAGGGGTGATTTATTCTAACAGACATTCAATCAGCAAACATTAAGTCAGTCACTCCTCTGTGCCAGGCCCTGGGGTGGTCCACAGGGTATCTTCGAGTGACGATTCCACACACTCCAGGAGTCAGAACGATCTGAGTTTGAATTTCAGCTTTGCTTCATAGTGAATGTCTGCCTCAGTGTTAGGAGATTCTGGACAACTACTTAAATTTTCTTAGCTTGAGTTTTGTTATCTAGAAAATGAGAGTAATAATATCTAGGGCTTTTGTGGCGTTTCAACTGGAGAAATGTATATGGTGACATTTTACACACTGTAAAATGCAACAGAAATATAAGAGACTATTGTATCACTTCTCCTTTCAGTCCCTGATGGAGAAAGACCGTTTGGAAGGGAGCATTCACTCTCTCTAAATGAACTGAATTGTGAAGAAAAAACTACAGCATGAAACAACCTTAAATGAGGACCAGAAAGGAAAGAATACATAAGGTAAAGAGACAGATATATCCTATACAAATATTTCTTCTATGTAGCTCTTGTTTTAACACCCGAGCTTCCATTTTCCAGGCATGTCAGAATAAAAATATTAAATTATAGTATTATCAAATCACCAGCATATACTAGCAAAAACTGCCTTAAAAACATGGTTTATCATTTCAAAATACTTAACAGATACTATTTTAATACTATTGGAAAAAATAGAGAAAAAATAGGTTTAAATACTAAAAACAAATCGTAGAATCAAATCTATTGCATAAATTCCAAACCACTACAATAAAAAAAAGAAAAAAATTTCAGTGTAGCCAAAGAAAAAAGCAAACGGAAAATAACAGAAAAGCATAAAAAAGAAAAGAAAAAATAACAGAAATTAGATAAAAACAAACTATTAATGGGTTAAACTCTTTCACTAGAAGATAAAGTCTTAAAGATTGGTTAAAAATAAATGCAGCTCTAGGACTGTTATAAGAGACGTGTCTAAGATAAAGTTAAAAATAAAAGAATGAGCAAATATATCTGAGGGACATAATATTTTTTCAAACATATAAATGGTATTATAACCATGTACAAAAGAGATTATAAAGGGAAAGTAAATTAGATAAAAGGTTATTTTATACTGATGAATGATACAATACACACTTGTTTAACTATAATGTATTCTTAGGTATTGAATAACAGCACTGAAATATATAAAGGCAGTGCCCGCTAGTGACGTAAGGAGAATTATCAAAACCACAATTGTGGTTGGAAACTTTAACATACATCTCTCAGTCCTTGATAAAGTAGAAAAAAATTATCTAAGGATATTAAAGGTCTGAATTGAGTATGATTAATCATCTTGACAATAAATACGCATCAAACTTTGCACTGTACTAAAAGAGATCACTCATGCTTATTCAAATATTTACATCTACAAAACATTTACAGAATTGGTGACATGGCAGCCCACAAAGCGAACATCAGTAAGTCCCTAACATTAGAAACAAACTAGCTAAGATTTTTTAAACCATAAATCCAGAAAGTAATTAACCAAAGAATAAACCAACAGACACATGCAA